CTACATTGTAACATAAGACGACGGCGACATTTTTTTAAGTAAATTTCGTACAAATAAATGGGGACGTTTTATCACTTTATCAAGCATTCTGTATACACGCTCACATTTTTCCGTAAATTATTATTCTGCGGGAAATGTCGTGGCTGCGTCTATAAAAATATTTGTAAATGTAATAGGACACTAGTTCGAAGCTTGGAATTGTAACAATACACTATCTAAGCCAACATATTCAGCTGGCGACAAAAGATAATGCCTCTATTGTAAAGACACATTGAGTACCTCCTGTGATCCTATTCATAGGGAGATTGTCTCGGCTCGCGCTCTGTCTCCAATCCCCTCAACTACAATGCCTCTTTCACGCGCCACCTCCTTTTGTTCTATCCGAGCAATTGGAGTATTTACCTCCACCGCCGCTCCCAGGACGCCAACACATTCACTGTGGGTAACATGCGGGGAAATTACAATAAAATTACCGAAAACTACGCTGCTTTAACGAAGAGCTGGTCACCCTCCCTGAAGAGTGAGTGAGTGTTCCGTCGTTTCAAAGAGAATTTTCTAAAATAATTAGAATTTGAAACAAACATCATGAAAATGCGGGTGTGGCTATTTTTTTTTTTTGTTATGTAAATACCAACCCCACATATTCTTCCGTAGATAGGATGAATCTTGCGAGGAGTAGGTACCTACCTCCCTCAACAACACGAAAATCTAACTGCATAACGGACCTTCTTAAACATTTAGGAAGACGCTAACACTAATTAAATTAACTGAAATATTTCTATTCATTCCTGCTGGAAAATTAATGACAACATCTGAAAAAATTTATTTAATAAAAGATAAGGATTTGCTCAACTGCTTGGTGGCCTTATCACAACAATGCAGTACACTTGGAAATGTTTGATCTTCTTAGCCAACAAAATTCTTACATAGCAAGATGTCTTGTAATTTTTTACAAAATGTAGTGTTTTCGCGCCATATTTCATAGCTGGAATTAAATAGATGTTTATGATGAACAATTTGAAATTTTTAGTTGTTAAAAAATTCAAAAGCAATGTAGTGTTATGCAAAATTCAGAAGGGGTCATAAAAGTGGTGAAACGTATTCTTTTGAATTTTTTTTTAAATCTTCTGTTTTTCTAAGGAAAAACTAGATAATTAAATATTTGATGCATACCAAGATTTAGATATTTTTTATTTTGAAATAGTGAATATTGACCAAATGACTTCTAATGGGTTTATATGGAAATCCTCCATGTCATAACTGTGGTACTAATACATTCAAACTCCCCAGGTAAAATAGAGGCCGCCAGATAGTGAATATTGACTGTCTGCTCCCAAAAGTGATTACTGGAAGCCACAAGACAGCTCTGTCCTCCTCTTCTAGTTGAAAAGTACAAAGCTTCTTTGAATCAGATGTGCATGAACACACTTTAGATTGTAGTGATTCTTTCGAACAAGCAACCGAAAAACAGCCAAGTGTTGTAAATCATCACCATTATAACCTTGCGCAGTTTATTTGAGGCTTCCACTTTTGGAAAGAGAAACTTGTTCACTATTTGACGGACTCTATTTTGTGTCATAAATGTATAAGTTGTGTTTCCAGCCTCAGGAGTCTTGTAAAGTACGCTTTAATCTGCAGTAAGAAAATATATAAATCAGAAGTCATCTCTACGCTTACTATTTCACAACCGGAACTACAAGATTTTACTATTTTAGAAAGCAAGTTTTGAAATACCTACATATAATATATTTTTTCAATGTTCTTATTTTTTTAATCCATCATTTCAACATCTCATAATTATATTTTCATGAAAAAGCTTATTCCTAGAGTACGAAACAATACGTCTTCCGTTTCCATCTGTCCGTCGTCTACCGTCTGCCGTCTTAAGCCGTCTTTTATTAGACAGTTATTCTCTGAAACTACCAGACCGATTGTTGTCAAATTTTAGATGTATGTTATGAATATCGTATAGATATTTACTATCTATAAATCTATTTTTAATCATATCTATCACTAAGTTGATGACGTCACTTCAAAATGTTATAGACTAAACATTATTTAAATTTTATAAAATAATCAACAGTTTACTACCAACATAGGTTGTAAACATTCATGGCCTACTGAGAATACATAGACACGCTGACCTGCGGATCGCACGTTTGATGCCAAACTCGACCGTTTCTTTTTATATTATGTTTTCCCGACGTTTCATGACCCCTATAGTGTACGAAAAAAATTCTCCCATATCCGTCTGTGTGTCGACTATCTGTCTGTCTGTCCGTCTGTACTGATTTTTATTGGACAGATAATCTCCGAAACTACTGGAACTACTGTTATCAAATTTTGTTTGTATGTAATATCATGTAAATGGTAAAACACTAAATAAAATTTGGTTAATCATCTCCACCACTAGTGGCATGACGTCATCTCCCAAATTTACAAGTTAATTTGTTTTTGATTTTATAAAATAAGATATACCTATTATTTATTCATTTATCCCCTCCCAAAAAATTTATAACATCTTAAAATTTTGCCGAATAAATCCTCACTAAAATATGCAAAATGTTATAACTTATAGTTGTGGTTTATCAATGCACTCACAGTTTTTAGAATTAGGTAGGTACGTATATGGGGTGACTCAAAAAATATAATCAATAATGCAGTTTATTGTAATTTTTAATCAAGAACGACTCCCCGGAATTTTGGAAATATTTTTTTTCTTTACACTGCATATATCCTAATCCTAACATTTTTTTTTCTCTTGCGCTGTGACTAATAATATCTATGTTGATGAGGTCATCACATTTTTTTATTGATCAACTTAAGAACGAGTCACCCTATTTTCTCGAAAATTTGGGACTACGCACGTTTTTTTTTAATGATAATAAAATAAGTATTATAATACATATTAATATTCAAAACATTTTGACCTATTGTGACTTAGTTAATAATTTAGTCATCTGTTTTGAGGAGACAAACTCATTTAAATCAAATAAATTTCTATGTGACATTCTTTCCATGTATAGATATGAACACTGAAAGTTAAGCATGTTATAATTGCTGAGAAAACATTTTTCCCATTGGTTTCTCTTTTATATCTATTTTACATTTTCCGTACAGGGGAGGGATTTTTTTATATTTAATATTTTTTCTGAAGAAACATCTTTTTTAAAACACAAAATGATAATATTTAATACCTCGAAATTTAGCAAATCTAGTAGAATTGAATAATTCTATATTTCATAAAGATCTTGTAATAAATGTGACAAAAGAGAGTATTTGGTTGTAATATATAATATATATACAGAAAAAACGTCTGTGCTGAAAGAGTTTTATAAAAATTACTTCTGATCTACACGTACTTGTTTGCCTATATTTATTATACTTATTTAAATAATTTTATTTTCAATGAATTGTGTTAAATGTTTAAAAAGACTTGTTCAACAAGATAGATATTAATTTCGGCCTCAAAATTTAATCTGTAGAGAGGTTTATCGTTAAACCATTAAACTGCGAATTTCAAACTGAGATTTAATTGGGTAAAATTTTGAGATTACGTCATCCATTTTCATCGAAAATGAAGAGAAAAATTTCATTTAGCGTTTACATAATTTCAGTGTCCGTAATTTCTGATTAATCTGTAAGGTAGTTCAATAGTGATCTCTTTAAATTTATTTGATAACCCAACAGATATACGGACAACAACGAGAGTTTGTCATTTTCATGTTCTACAAATATTTAGAATGGATTTGACTAGACTTTAATTCTCTCATTGACTGGACTCAACTGACTGCTCCCGACGGTGGTCCCTATTTAAACAGTCACGCGTCCCTTCTGGATAGTTCGCCGTCACCTCCTCGAGCTTGTGGAGTTCGCCGCCGAGACTTTCATAGAACCGCTTCTAGGGGCTTTTTTATTTGAATGTCGCCGTCACCGATGATGAGTCACCCATCATCGCCGTACATATTAGAAAACTGATTGGTGTCGTACATTGTTCTTCAAAGATCAAGTCTATTAACTATTCCACTCAATCCTAACATATATCAAAAACAAAGAAATAAGTATATAATAATAATAATTAATCAAAAACAAAAAAAATATTATGTAGAAAATACATACTAATAAATAAAAAACTATAAGTGACCATTGGAAAAAATACTTTTCCATTCCTAATTAAATTGGAGAATAGATACACTTTGATGGCGAATTCAAGACTTGCAACTCTACAGAGAAAGAGATTTCCACTTTGAGCTTCTTTGATACCTCAATTTCGTTTGTAAAAAAATTTTATGTAATAACAAAATTTGTCTAAACATTTAATATTTACCAGTCCCATTTAATACAGTTCCAGTTTCTAGGCGAAAAATACCACTCTATAGTTTTGAATAAGTTTTTAATATAAACAGATATTTCTTTGCGAAAAAATTTAAAATATTCTCAACTTACAAAACAGTTGTAAGGAATGAACCTTTGAACATTAAAAAATATTTTAATAAATTAACTAAAGTACGTACCTAATGCAGATGCTACTTGGCAATTTTGGAAGGTAAAGTTGCTTTTATTGCTCTAACAAAATAGTGCAAATAACGAAAATGATGATTGCGCGTTACGGATAGAATAAAATGGGCTAACAGTTATATAAGATATAACGTAAATGTAAATGTTAACATTAATAAATAAAAGAATAAAATTTTGTATTTCACTTAAATTGTTCTTACTGTATTCCCTAGGGAATAAAGTACCATTTTATTTCCGGTTGAGAGGAAAATCGTTTTATATGTAATCCCAATATTTTCTACTTTCACAAATAACTGTGGCTGCATTTTTTACATTTTAGATTTTATATTATGTTTTATATTAATCCACTGTACTACGTTTTCGTCTAATTTATAAGAGCACCCTTTGAAACGAACCATTTTTTAACAATATGCTTCTCAAAATCCACCTCATTAACAAATGAAAAGTCAAAATTTATGTCAAATCACTGTTTTCGTTTTCAGAGCCCTCCACATGAAAGAACATCCCGACTACAAATACCGTCCACGAAGGAAACCCAAGCCACTGTTAAAAAAAGAACCAAAATTCGGCTTCTCAATATCTCCTCTAATCTCGTCCTCCATGGATGGCCAAAATATACCTCGATCCATGATGCCTCCAATTTCAGCCGCAACCAGCCTCCCGTCGCTCCTGTCCCATCATCCAGACCAAGATCCTCTAAAAATCCCTCGCAGCTTGTTCCCTCCTCTTCCCTACTTGTACCCCTTTCGGCACCCCGAAGAATCAAAATTTGCAGCCGAACTAGCGCTACTGTACAGCAACAGCCACCTCTACCCTCCTAGTATCAACTGGCCTATCAACAACCTTTCCAGTAACGTCAACAGCCCTTGCAATATCTGTCCTCCTGCGTTTCCCAGAAGAACTCCCAGTCCTGATGGCATGAAAAGACCAGTCTGCGTCATCATGAAAAACGACGAATTTCGGAACGAAGGAATACAAGGGCACGTTATATGAAAACCACTTCCGGTTCTTCCGGAAAGGTTGAACCTGGGAACTTGGTTTAGTGATATTGCGAATCTAGCGACTAGTTCGGTGGGGTCATCATCGCAGACGACGAGTTCTCTGAATGTGGGCCAAGATGGTGCCTCTGGAAGGGATAGTTGCAGTCCGGGAGCTTTGAGTGACAAAGTTATTGGCACTTACACTAATAATTGAACAGTTTGTTGTGTGATAAGGTGTCTATATTCACAAAATTTTATCAAGTTTTAAAATTAATAGAAAATTAACGATTATTATTATGTGTTATAAAATAAAGACTAATAAGACGGTTTTAGTATCTGGAGGGGTGGTGCAATTACTTTAAGTTGTATAACCATTTTAATGTTAAAATGTAAAACAGAATCACTTGTTTGTTTTAAAACAGTCTCCTTGTTGATTACATTTGTAATGATTATTTTGTTATAATAACATACGAGATGTGTTTGTTATGTTCTGTCTGTTTGGTCCCGATAGGTTGTAGGTATATCAAATAAATGTAATAAAGTTGTTACGTACTATAGAAAAAATTAAATTTTTTCAAGAATATTTGTGCTTTATTTTTGTTTATTAGTATCAAGTGCTTCATAAAATAAATATCTTTAGAAAATCAGTGACTTCAGCAGCATCAGGTAAGATTGCGTTCCGAGAATCCCGTAATGAACAACCAGGAAGGTGTCGATATTTGTACTTTCCGAGTGTGAGCGAAGAAAGTATTGTAATAAGGTCCATCCGACGACTGGCTACTTTCATGTTTTCTCGACGTTTCATGATCCAATCATAGAGTGCGAAAAAACTGATCTTCCTTTTTCGCTTGTCTGTCTGTCGTCTGTGTCAATTGTTATTTGTATTTTAGGTGTATCCTGTAAAAACGCTTCATAGACTAGCGAATGTTCTTTTTTCACCGGGACTTTTTTTTTTAATTTTTTTGAAAAAACTTGATTCGTTCAATTGTACCTATCTAAGTATCGAGGGAAATTCTGAACAGTGCGGATTGTGTTATCGACATAATACTAACACTGAAAAAAAAGAAAAAGTCAGTTTTGTTTTGCCTTAAAATATCCTACTAAACAAGAATTACAATGCAATTTTCGTATGTACAACACTCTAAAAAAAAAAAAACAGAAGCTGATGTAGTACTATACGGAAATTTTTAAAATATGAAAATAGAATTAATGAAGTAATAATTATCATTCACAGCTTTTTAAACTTAACACTCTGTAGATTTGTACAAATTTAAATTCCCCATTAAAAATGAAGAAATATGGTGTCAGACACTAAAGACATTTTAATCAACGGTTTTCAATATATTTGAGTTTTATGTAAAGAAATGGTAAGAATTAAAATTTTTCAACTCCGCTATATTTAAAGATAGAAATCTAGAATTTTGCACAAAACTTTTTACCTACTTTGACTCGACAAATGAACAAAAATGAAGTGTTTTGATTTATTTATACAGGATGATTAAATGTAATTAAAATGTTATATTTCAAACAGAATATCTGTATCTTTCGGAATTTTATAGTATATTTTCTTTTGTACCAAATTTTGAAGCTTATACCGTAAGAATTTTGTTTTTTAGTTATGTTTAAACTTTATCTAGTTTTTACTTCTCGAGCGTACGCTAAGTAATGGCTACTATCATATTTTCTCAATCCTTCATGACCCCTAGAGTATGAAAAAATAGGTCTCCTGTTTCCGTCTGTCTGTTGTTTGTCAATTTCAATTAGAGAGATAATCTACGAAACTACTGGAACGATTGTTATCAAATTTTATATGTACTTTGATTGTACTTCAGGGACGAGGGAATCTTTTAATATCATAGTTTTTTTCCATCGGGACAAGTGTTGATTAAAAATTTTGCCCATTTTTCACAAAGAAAAATCTGGAAATAAATATGCATATGATAAAAAAAAACGCACACATACAGCATTTTTACATAACCTTTTAACGGAATACTTCGTACTTTTGAAAGTAATTGTAATTTGGAGCTCTAAGTGAGTAGTATTTGGTAGGTGAAAGATGTTTTCTTTAATTGGGGTTAAATTCGATATCTATCGTCCCCAGAATTTTGGGACACCTGTACATGTTTTACATTGATATTACGTCGCCTGAGAACTTGTTTGATCTACAGACCAGAGCACGCTCAGGTCAGTAAAGTAACCTCATTTGACAATACACCTGTTAAAACTTTTATTACTTAAGCGGCTTAAGCCAAACCTCCCTTTTAAGTCAAACTGGCTATTGCATTACTTAACTCAGTTCACAGCTACATTATGCCAGCAATGGACAGTAATAATCTTGCGATTCGGGTCCACAAAGCTTACAATAGCCAGGTTGACTTATAAGAGTGCTTTGGCTTAAGCCGCTTAAGTCATAAAAATTTTAAAAGGTGTATGTCAAATGAGGTTACAGTACTAGTGTCGACTCTAAGCGTTCAGAAGCCATTTGATTGGTTTGGACTATAATTTCTGCGGGAAATAGTTGTTTGGTCGGATTTTATGACGTATAAGTGAACATCAAATTTTGGATGGTTTTATTTACAAACATAAATCGCATGGCACATGTTTCACTCGATTTTGACAGGCAACTATTTTTGTGTTTAACTAAGAATTAATTCTTTAATTGTGTTTTATACTAGCAAAACGTCTTAAATTAACAATATTGTTGAAATCGTAATAATCCAATGGATTTTTTTGAGAACATGTAGTCATTTTTGTTTTGGAAACATTGTGTTCTACTTTGTATGAATTTTTCAATGTTTTTAGTGACAATTTTGTTGTGGTTATTTTCGACATATTGTATGAGAGAAAAAAAGAGAAAAATCAAAATAATCGAAAATTTGAAAAATAGAAATATCGAAGAATTGAAAATTAAAAAAGCAAAAAAATGAAAATTCAAAAATCTAAAATTTAAAAACCTAAAAACGAAAAATAGGGAAATCAAAATTCCTAAAATTAAAAAAAAAGAAAAACTGAAAAATCGGAAAATTGAAAATAGAAACATATAAAAAACTATAAAAACGAAAAATCAGAAGATCGAGAAAACGAGAAATCGAGAAGTTAAGAAACCGAAATAAAATTGAGAAATTGATACATCGAGAAATTGAACATTCAAAACATCAAAACATCCAAATCTCGATAAATGGAGAAATCAAAAAATTTTTAAATTCGAAAAGTGGAAATATTGTGAAATCGAAAGTTCAAAAGATCGAGAAATAGAAAAAGTCACGAAAAATTGACAAATCGAAATAGGCCAAAATCGAAAAGACGTTAACTTAAAAGTTGAAAAATTGGAAAATCCAAAAATCTAAAAGCTGAACAACAAAAAACGAAAAACGGAAAAATGGAAAACTGAGAAACCGAAACAGGGCAAAATAAAAAATCGAAAAGTTATAAATTCAAAAACTCATAAATCGAGAAACTGAACAATCAAAATATCGAAACATCCAAATCTTGATAAATCGGGAATCAAAAAATTGAAAAATCGAAAATTTAAAAATCGAAAAATAGAAAAATCGATGAAGTAAAAAAAAACAACACATCGAAAAATGCACAAGTCGAAAAGTCGAATAATCGAAGTATTGAAAAATCTCAAAACTGAAATAACGAAAAACTGAAGAATGGAAAAACTGAAAAATCCCAAAACTGAAATATCCAAAAACTGAGAATCTAAAAAACTAAAAAACTGAGAAATCAAAATGTCAAAAAAGTGAAGTCGAAAAATCAAAACCTTAAAAAATTAAAAAAATGAAAAACAAAAACCCAAAAAAATTGAAAAATTGAAGAGTTGAAGAAATGAAAAATCGAAAAATTGAGAGTTTATAAAAGTCAAATTTGAAAAATTGCAAAAACTGAAATTTCCAAAAATTGGAAAATGAAAGAAAAATTGAAATATCCCAAAATTAAAATATCAAAATACTGAGAAATCAAAAAATAGAAAAATCAAAACTGAAATTTCGAAAAATTGAAAAATAAAAGGAAAACTAAAAAATCGCAAAACTGAAACATCAAAAAACTGCGAAAAAAATGAGAAATCGAAAAATCAAAAAGTGAAGTCGAAAAATTGAAACTCTAAAATTGGAAAAATTGAAAAATCAGAAACATGAACAAACGAAAAATTGAAAAATTGAAAAACTGAAAAATCGGAACAGTCGAAAGTCAAGAAATGGGAAATTAAAACATTAATTAATAAAAAACAAATAAATAAAAATTCATGCAAAAAGGATCCTAACGTTTCCAAAAGAAAAAAATAACACTTTTCTGAAAAAAATGTATTGCATGATAACGATTCCAACAGTATTGTTAATTTGCGGAAGTTTGCTATTATCAAACACAATTAAAAAATTAAGTATTTCTTAATTAAACAAAAAATAGTTGCATGTCAATAATGAACACATGTATGCTTACTTATTCGTTGTGAAGTCTGATCAAGCAATTCTTTCCCGTAGAAATTATGGTCTTAACCGGTTAGGATGTGTATCAGATCACGGATCATGACTTATAGATCAAATCGTTTCTGAACGCTTAGAGTCGACATTGCCCTGAGTGCGCTCTGGTCTGTAGACCAAACAAGTTCTCAGGCGACGAATACACACACATAATTATGTACATGTAAGCGATTATTTAAATCTTATTTATTTTTTGTGGGCAGTTATATTGAAGACGATACTTACAATCTAAAACTAATATTGAACTGAAATAACCGTAAGAATCTGGTTAATTGGAGACTATCTTACAGAAAATAAAAACATTGATTTAAAATTATTAAGGCTATCAAAAATATAGAAATATTTCATAAAATGGGCCACTTAAAAGTAGAACAAAGATGTCAAAAGAAGACTGTCCCCTTAAAATGTTTGCAATATTTCAAATGTAAAATTTTAATTTTGATTTTACATTTCCGTGCTGTTTAAGGCAAAAATTAATTCAAATTAATAATCCACAAGTATTTTATAAAAATTAAAAAGAATTTACCTAGGAAAACTCGAGGTCTATACATCCAATTCGTCTAAAATTTCCTAGCAATCACTTCAACTAGTACCTATCGGAGATTATCTGTCTATTTAACAAAAGCATCAGTAGATGACCGATGACATACAGACGCAAATGGGAACCTACTTTTGGATACTTTAAGAGTTATGAATCGTCGAGAAAACATGAAATTAGTGATTCACCAAATGAACCGTATCACATTACCTACCTAACTTATACCATGTACAAACATGAGATAAGGATTGTAATTTTGATATTTTACACATGACTGTTGACTACTACAATATAACACATCCCTTCACTGCGTTTAAAATTTTCACCATATGGAGTGTTAACTAAGTTGTTGTTTATTGTGAATGAGCAAGATTCTATTAGAATAACAAAATATTTTCGGTATGAAAATTCCTTTGTGACAATTGTTTTTCTGTTTCTACATAAGACCTGTAGAAAATATGTCA